TACGGGCTTGGCGCCATACTCACGCAGCATTCAGATCTAGGCGAGAGAGTAATTTCATATTCAAGGCGCTCCCTAAATGGAGCGGAAAGAAATTACTCCGCAACTGAAAAGGAATGCTTGGCAATTGTGTGGGCCATAAGGAAGTTGCGACCGTACCTGGAGGGATACCACTTCAAAGTAATCACGGATCATATGGCACTGAAGTGGCTCAACAGTATAGAGAGCCCGTCAGGAAGGATTGCGAGATGAGCTTTGAAACTCCAGCAGTATGACCTTGTAAGGGAGTTTTCTAGCCGGGATATGAATCTAAGTCGTATTCCGGGGTCCTTTACAAGAAAATTTGTAAGTCACTGAGACACTGAGCTAGAGAGGTCTGTTCATTCGATGAACAGAGGTTTTATAGACTGTTTGGAGGGGTTCTTCGGATCCAAAAATTCCACGGGCTGGACCTTCGGGCGAGGCCGCAGCCGACAGAACAATTCGGGGCTCAGAAAATCACTCACGCGCGATAAGGGGGATCTGCCGCCCTTCTTCCGACCTGCCTCGGGAGGATTGGCCTTCCCAAACGAGTTTACTATAGAGAGGATCCGCCTTCCCTCTTCCGTCCTAACTGGGGAGGATCGTCCGTCCCAAAACGATTTGTTCACTAGGGGGGATCCGCCGCCCCTTTTCCCGATCTGCCTAGGGAGGATCGGCCTTCCCGAAAACGATTGCCCTACAGGGAGGATCCGCCTTCCCTTTTCCCGTCCTACTCAGGGAGGATCGGCCTTCCCAAAACGATTTATTCACTGTGCCCGTGGGGTAAATTACAAGGGGGAGAAGTTTCGCGTTATTAAGACTACGCAAAAAAAATCATTGACAACGGGTTAATATTTCTACTTGCTTTATTTAATTTCATTAGTATTCTGACTGCACCAATTACAGTGTGTTCTTTCTAACCTGTCTTCGAGATCCCACGTGTTCCTCTTCCTCTGTGTTCTCACTTTCACGTACCGGGACCTTGTCGCCCGCGCACGTCCGCTCGTCATTTTTCTTTTACACCGACTCCCTCTACTTTTACGCACCGGGTCCTTGCCGCCCGCGCGCGTCCGTTCGCAACTTTACTCTATTTTTCCATCGCTGCCCGGCAAGAGCTGCCGATCCTTGCGTCCGTTCTCTCTCTTGCCCAAGTCCAAGTGCTCACATACTTTTCTCCCTCGCCTACGCTAAGCTTATCTGGTATCTCCCTGGACTTTCTAGTATTTTTATCCAGGATCGATACCGTGGGCGGGGTTTATGACCTCACTTAATATTCTAGTCCTAACTATATTCAGCTTTAGTATAATTAAATATATTTGGCTCCTTGCCGCCGACTTCGGGGTTTCTTCATAAATAATACTTCACGTCTGACTTCTCTTAGTATAATAATAATAATAACAATAATAATAGTAATCTGTTGCATCGGTGTGTTTCTCTGCTGGTTGTGACGATCTGGCCGTCAGGTTGGATCGTCACAACCTCGAGATATTCTACCGGAAAGGCCAGCTCAATGTCGTGGCAGACGCCCTGTCGAGGCAGCCATTGCCAGCGAAATGTCGCAGAATTAAGACAGCAAAGACAGGCCCGAAGACTGCGGAACGCGATTGGATAGCGGAAATGAAAAGCAACGTGGCGCAGAACCCGCAGAAATACCCGGATTACATGCTGGAAGGCAATCAAATGTATCGCCACATACCCCACAGGGCGGGGAACGAGGACGTGGTCGCGTGGAAGCTATGCGTACCCAGAGGATCAAGACAGAGGGTGATAGCGGAAAATCACGACGCGCCAACAGCCGGTCACTTGGGCAGCAGGAAAACAATCGCAAGAGTGGCTGCGAGGTACCCAGCGTCGGTTCGCATGAAAGATTGAGGACCTGCTGAGGGCCAGCTGACGAAGATCCAGTGGATGTTGTGCGAGAAGTACCCAGCGTCGGTTCACATGAAAGATTGAGGACCTGCTGAGGGCCAGCCGACGGAAATCCGAGGGAGTTGTGCGAAAGGTGCCCGGAGTCGGTCCACACGAGAGTGAGGACCTGCCGAGGCCCAGCCCGACGAAATCCCGACCGACTTCAGGGTGGAGTGTAGAGTGTTGACTGCAGCAACGCTGCTTAGCCCTGCCAGTAAGGTTTTCTGCTAAACATCCTCCAAGTTGTGAGAGACTCGTAGAGAGCCTAGTACGCGACCGGTGCCCGAAAGACTCGGCGATGCTGAGGACGCACGACTGGCGGGCCGCCGTAGAAGTCGACGTGGGAGCCACTACCGGCGTCAAAGAGGGCGTTATATTCATCAGCGAACAGAGCCAGAAGTCGAATATTTTATTGTAAATCTACATGCAATAAACCCAACACACATATTCTAAAATCTAACCTAACCTCTGCGTTCTTCTTTGGTTTCGGGGTCACGCAACAATAAATTTGGTGGGATGAACACATAAACTCAACTGAGCTAGCCGAACGTTTACGTAGCGAGCGAAGATATAAAAAGCAGTTCGTTACAGTGATTTTGTTTATGTGTCCGCGCCCTGTCGCCTGGAACTTTTTATGCAGGAATAAAATATACTCTGTCGATAACTTAAAAGAAAAAAAACATTTCCCCCCAACGCACCCCATTTTGTTTTTTAGTGTTTCAAGGTATGCGATCATCATTTTCATTAAATCGACAATAAACAGTGTTTGGTTTCTTTTATCTCAGATGCTTCAGAAAGTGTGAAAAAATCACCAGAATGGAGCTATATTCTATTTTGCAAGAGTTCAAAGGGGAAAAAAATAAGTGATAAATTCATATTTTTGGAAGATAAGCTGGTAAAACTGACATCATGTCCACCCGAAAAAAGATATAATCTTACGCGTTTCATGAAATATTTCATGACCAGTTTTAAAGAAAAATGGAGTGCTGCCCGTAATACACATGAACGATTTGTAAAAATTAACGAAGAGAGGCTGAACGTTACATTGAAACTTACATTGGATCGAAGCAAGCGGCGCAAAACAAAAGAATTACGGGCCCAAATACGTGTTGATGAATTAACGTACGCTGCCAGTGTAAGCCAAGAAACTTCTGGAAACAGCGACGTTTCTACAATTATAAAAGAAATTATAACATCTCCAACTAGAGCTAAAAAGTTTCGAAAGGTAGTTTTGTCAGCTGAAGAGGAACAAATTGTGCGGAAATACACTCCACAAGAAGCACTAGCACTATTTGTAGATGGAAGTTTTACAAGAAGGCAATGGGAATTAATACAAGGCGGTCGCAAAGAAATTTACCCTTGCTATTCACTCATCCAAAAAGCGAAAAAGAAGTGTTATCCAGCCGAAGAATACGTAAAAGTGACAGAAACTAGTTTTGAAGTGGGACTTCAATCTTTGCTTGACCACACGGTTTGAGAAGCAACATATTATCCTAATAACAAAATGGGGCTGCGATGGATCGCATCAGACCCAATTCAAACAAAAATTTAGCGACAATTTGAAGCCGCTGAAGCACGAAATAAACATTTTAGGAAATATCGTGTGGACTATGCCAGGAAATTTTCTAGAGTAGACTGCAACAGAGATATATTAAATAGGTTATTGCTAACAGCGGACCCGTTGATTAGTTCCAGTACAAAGAGGAACAAGAAGAAAAGTAAACCTCTTTTCAAGGAGGCAATGTCTATTTTAATGGAAAGGTCCACGAATTATTATAGCACCAACTCTGATCAGGATAAAGATTCTGATTGACTGAATTTCATCAAAATTTCTTTAAATTTTGTATTTTTTTTCTTGGAATTTTTCCCATATTTTTTTTTTTTACATGAAATTATGATTTAATATTGGCTTGCATTTTATAAAGAATAAACAAATGCTAATAAATAATTTCGTCCGGATTTTTATTTCAAATAAATTTTCAGCGGCAACCCCATCAGTAGCGGCTCTACTGCAGCATCAGAGCCTCCACATTCTCCCGACGTCCATCGTGTTGCTGGAGTCTGGGGCCACCACCTTCGAGACGGCCGCGTTGATCGACCCGTGCACTCCCGTCAGCACCATCGACAGCACCCTGGCAACTGCATTCAAGCTACCCACGACGACAGTGAGAGATGAAGAAGTCTGCTCGACGACGATCCGGTCAAGAACGGGCGATTTCCAGATCGCCGTGCTCCTAAAGATCAACCCTAGTGTACGCATCCGTACCCCGATCCGCGCGCTTAGTGAAGCTATGCGAGCCCAATTCAACGACATCCGTCTTGCCGATGAGCAGTTCCATCGCCCAGCAACAGTCTCGCTGGTGTTGGGCTCGGACGTATACCCCGACGTCATCCGGCCCGGGTTCCTAAATGTACGTGATGGGCTGCCCGTCGCACAGAGCACGGTATTTGGATAGGTCGTATCTGGAGCACGCCTAAGGATTCATCCGTTGCTTCGCTCGCCCTCTCAAGGGGGGAGAATGTTCGCGCCAAAGCGGCGCTTTCCAGTTCCATTTCAACCGACCCTGGAGCCTTAACAGTCGTGAGAGCCGCTCTTCCAGATCGCTTGCATCTCGCTCTCTCGCACTGTGAAGGGTCTCCACTCCGCTCTCCAAGCCGCTCTTGAAATGTCCACCCCGTAATTTTAAGTTAGTTCTAATCTACAAATATAACCGCGACGTCGAAAATAAAGTGAATAAAGAGTGAAGTTTTTTATAAAGTGAAGTCAAGTTATTTACTAATCTGGATTCAAACAACGAAAACATTTGAAGACCCGCCCCACTACAAGTTCACAGACCATAAACAGAAATACTTTATTGGGTCGTTAAGTTAGGAAATAAATTACTGTGTTTTTTGACCGACAATCCACCACTTCATTCTATTTACAGTTTTGAGTTATAGTAACCTACTTGCGAACGTTGATCAAATACATATGTATGTATGGACTACTGAAATTGAACATTCTATAACAATCCCGCTTGCACCTACCACATCTTTATATTAGGCTTCTAGGGCGATGTGAAAAAAAAAAAAAATTTTCCCATCGTCAACGTTTATTGATAATTACATTCTTTAAGCCAAAATATTCACTTTAAGGAACTTATCTCCTTTTCACATGTTCTGTAAGCTACCCCGATTCCAAATCCAGTACCAACCCATGCAGGCCACGCTCGTCTTTTAAAAAACAATAAAGATACAACAGATCCAATAATAAGACCACCACCTGAAATAAAGAAGAAGTGAGATAATATTAATTTTTTTGATTAAATCTTAAACCTAATATTTATACCCTTTAAGAAGGTATTATAAGTTAAGTCAAAAGATTGGAACGCAGTGAAAGAAACTTCTCAGTCCCCATAAATCTTCTTGACCAGCATCGCCATCTGAATTTATTTAGGCTTGTTCGTCAGTCCGTCTGTCTGTTTATACCCAAAACCAAGTCTTCTGGAAAGGCTTATTGAACCTTTGCCAAAAGCCCTGTAGCTTTAGTAGGACAATGCATACATGTATACATATATGTCGGAACTAGAGCTGGAAAACAATCGATGGCACTATCGATACCATCGATGTTTTTAAAATTTTCTAAACATCGATGGTTCGTTGGCCACTATCGATTGTTTTCATTAATTCTGTGCATTGAGGACAACGTGTAAGTAAAATGGGTTTTGTGTCGCATTATTTTAATTATATTAAATATTTAATCACATGTAGTGAAAATATAAATTCCTTGGAAGCAAGTGGTGGTGCTGGTTGTAGGCGTGGTGCTACAAAATGGATAAGTTTGTAAAAAGTAAGTATTGTTTCAAAATGACGCTTTGCATACAAGTGAAAATGTATACATGCCATGCGTATGTATTGGTATGCAAACGCATTGAAAAAGCCGGAATTTATGCATATACTCATTGCATGCTGTTTTTATTTTTATTATTTAGACAGATTGTGTCTGACAGGAGATGCGCACTAAAACCCAACATTGTGGACAAACTTTTGTTCCTAAACAAAAATAGTGATCTTTAATAAAAATCTCGTTAATTGTTATTTTTGTGTTTTAACTGAAAACATCGATGTTTCATCGATGTTTACTTTCAAAAACATCGAAAACATCGATGGTCCCAGACATCGATTGTTTTCCAGCTCTAGTCGGAACGGCCTGGATCAAACCGGAATATATTGTAGCTACCCAAGGGAATATCAGAAAAAAAATGAACAAATAAACAAATTTCATTCATTCTCTAGTTTACATATGTATATAAAAACAGATTTAATGAAATTCGGCACTTGTTTTCATTTATTTGCAATTTCGTTTTATTTTTTTTTTTTAATTTTTTAAATAAACTTGGTTGTGTTGTTAATTAATATAAAATGTAAATAAATTTAGTTTCATTAAAATTTCCCAGTCCTTAATAATACGGTGAAACACGGAGGTAGCGGAATAATGGTGTAGGAATGTATGGTAGCAAGCGGCTAAGGAAAATTTAAATTTATCGAGTCAATAATGAGTAAAAAAAACTATATCAAGATGTCGAAAAATAATTTAAAAGAAAGTGTTGAAAAATTAGAGCTGGAAAGTGAATACTAGTTCAAGCAGGGCAACCAAGCTTTGGCTGCTGTACAAGAGTTCTGCTCTTAACCCCAATGAGCATTTGTGGGATCTTCTTGAAAGGAAAATCCGAAAACACACTATAACAAAAAAAATCAAGAAAGGAAGGTAGCTTCGGCTCGTTGAAGCTTATATACTCTGGATTCTCGTCATACAGCAACTAAAACGAAATTATAACGAAAATATTCGAAATGAAACTAAAGATTCTAAACAAAGACTGCTTAACAATAGTCACAATATAATCATAATAAAAAGTTATTTATCACAAAATATTTATCTAAAAATTAAAAAAAACTTTTGGGGCAAGTATTGAGCAATCAAGTAAATCGAATAAGAGCGTTCAAATCTGGCAAAAAAATCACTTTAAATTATTTTCCTTGTGTAGGTTTAAAAAGAATTTGCGCATTGATGAGGAATGAGGTGGTTCAAGGTCAAAGGTTTATATAAATTACAGTACACACTAAAAGATTTAGATCCTTAGAACTGGTAGGTTGTACTTGGGTAGAAGTATAACAAAAAGGGTCTCCCGAAAAGTTAGTCCTCCAGACTTTGGAATATTAAATAGTTTAAATTCAGCAAAAAGATAATTTAAACATTTAAATATGTAGTTTAAATATTTCACTTTGCAAGAGTGCTCAAATTTACAGATTAAAAAGAATATGAAACTTAAAAAAAAAACTTTCTGCTCAAATACGTTTTGTGTATTGAGTTTAATTAGAAGTAAGGGCGCCCTCATTCAGCTTTATTTAAGCACTCTTTGGCGAGCTTTGAAAACCGCCCAGGTTTTATTGGTGGCTTCCTTGAAGTGTTTTTGTTTTAATTGATAATTTATAAGTTAAGCTTCTCCGAAATAAAATTTCAAAAACAATGACTTGTTGTGAAAGCTTGCAATTCACTCTAACATGTTAAAAGGCCATCATAAATCAACCTAATATCTGTTCTAATGTCCCAGCACAAGTATAACAGAGTTTTAAAAAAAATGATGTCAAAGAATTGATTTCAATGCCATCTCATTCGAATAGATTGTAGGTGCTTTCCGGTTTAATACTGCTGTGCAGATAGGATAATAATTATGAATATATAAAAAGCTGGTTGTACTGTGCGTGCGCCCTTTGTGTCTATGAGGCAGCAGCCGTTTTTATATCATTGTTATGCAGAAACCCAAAAGTCGTGTAGATTCAAAATAGTTTCGATATCCTCTTCCAACATACAATACCTTGCAATCTACCCTTGCGGCCATCAAATATGACGAACAAAATCCATAAAGGCTAATCAACATCGAAGCTACATACATAAGTCGATTTTTATACCCTTGCAAAGGGTATTATAATTTCAGTCAGAAGTTTGCAACACAGTAAAGGAGACACCTCAGACCCCATAAAGCATATATAATCTTGAGCAGCATTACGATCTGAATCGTAACACCTCTGTCCGTCTGTCTGTTTCTATGTAAACAAGTCTCTCAGTTTTAAAGCTATCTTGCTGAAACTTTCCCAAAAGTTGTAAAGATATTGAACGCAGTATATATGTATATACATAAGTCGGAACGGATAGTTTCCATACGATAGATTAAAACAAGAAAGGAAGCTAGCTTCGGCAAGCCGAAGCTTATATACCCTTGCAGTCATCAAATATGTCAAACAAAATACATAAAGGCTAAACAACATCGAAGCTAAGACGATTTTTCTATTCATTTTCTATATTTTTTTCTATTGTTCAAATGACGGCTATATGATATACTCGTCTGATTTTGATAAAATTTAATTTGTTATTCAAGAATCGTTAAAAAGCTCTATATTCCAAAAATCATGAAATTTTGTGAGCGTATTGAGTAAGTCTGACAATTACCCAACGTCTATTTTTCATCCTCTTAAATAGTGTTCGACATACCAAAAATCGCATATAAAGTGAGTTTCTACCTCATCACACTGACAAAAACACGCTACCATAGCATTTTAAATTAATTTAAACTGGGGCAAAAATCCTTCATCATTAAGTAAAATCATTAATTCTATTTATGAGTGTTTTGTCCAGTGGGCTATGCCAAGAAAACGCAAAGCGGATACTCGATACATGCGAAATAGAAGATCCGAAAGAATAGCGCAATTGCATCAAGAAGAGCCAGAAGATACACGAGCTGAACACAATAAAGTCAGAGGATTAGAACAACGACAACCACGCCGTGTCACAGTCAATAGAGGCAGAACAAATGACCATCAACGACAACCGGTACATCGAGCATTTATATATGATTCATTACTGCGTCTAGCATTCAGTATGAGCCCGATATTGAGTATTATGCTCACTCAAAAGTGGTAATTGGTGCTAAGGACAAGGAATGTCCGCATTGTCATGCTCTGAAATTTAAAAATGAGCCAGCTGGGATGTGTTGCGCGTCAGGAAAAGTGCAACTACCAGAAATTGAAACACCACCTGAACCATTGAACGGCTTACTTATCGACACGGATCCAGATTCTAACGTGTTCCTGAAGTCAATTCGAACATTTATGTAATTCATGCTTTCTACATAAGTCTAGAACTGAGTAAATTTTGCGGTAATACTTCGGAATTTTGACTCCAGCTATATCTCAGCCCCAAAAAATCTTGGGAACCAAATCAAGGGTTTTTTCGTAAGATAATAACCCCCTTAGGAGGGGTAGAAGGTTTTTTACCTTGGGAAATGGAAATTTCCTCGGAAAATCATGTGTAATAAGTATTTTCGCCCGCTACCAGCCCTCACTATTATCGGAAATTTAAGGCTCGATAGCTCGTAAACGGTGCGAGAAATCGAAAAATTTTATTTATTAAAAAGTGTTTACTTTGGGCCAATTATCCAAAATATGTCCTCAAATCTCTCCTAGCGCGGAAATGCATGACGTGCATGTAAGAGTTTTCCGCTGATTTTCCGAGGAAATTTCCATTTTTCAAGGTAAAAAACCTTCTGCCCCTCTTAAGGGGGTTATTATCCTATGAAAAAACCCTTGATTTGGTTCGCAGGTTTTTTTTGGGGATTAAATATAGCTGGAGTCAAAATTCCGAAGTATTACCAAATTTGCACAGAAATTATAAAGTCATCTGGTGGCAAAACAACGTTTGCCGGGGTTTGCTAGTATTATTATATTTATATATATTATTATATATTTATAAATAATTACGTAATTATCTTTACTCACATCCTTTAACTAATGTGTCTGAAACACAACGATCCAACCTTTTACCAATTTTATCCTCGATAAAAACCTGATTAGAAGTCATTCTTTAAATAAGTATTGAAATTCTTGTCAAAAATCTTTTTATTTGGATAATACAATCTTCAAGCAATGTGACCGTGTATATATATATATATCTATATATGTATGAACCGTATGTATGAACTTCGGCATGTGTTTCAATTTTGTGAATGTTAATTCACAGTTATGCCTCGTTTCCGCTAGTTAACGTTTAGGACTGAGTCAGAATATGGGCACACCGAGAGTAAAACATCAATAATTTTTTTATTTCATAGTTTGATTGCACATAGATTACACATACAAAAATCATTATATTTAATATGCATTATACTTTATACATTAAGTGAACTGATTTGGGTAATTGTTTACAAGTGCGGTGCACGGTAAATACAGTTAAAAAAAAAAATAAAGTAAAATATGGAAACGATGTGTTTTTTTCTAAAACTTCGAAATCCGTTGGCGGAGAGTGAAAACTTTGCACCGTTTTTTTGTTATTAACAAATAAAGATGCGATTTGTAGTACAAATTCGGATCTGAGTGACCGTATTTGCATGTGATGTGCCGATTATTGCAGTCGTCTGGTGGCGGATTATTGCGTGAGTTTATTATCGAATCGTCGTCGCATGCAGACGTGTATTTATTGTGCTCCGGGAAAAAAGTATTCAATAATATCAAAAAGTGCAGTGACTGGTTTCGTAAATCAACAACAACGCGAAAAGACGCTTTTAGCGATGAAATCGCCAATGTTTATATTAATTAATTAATTAATATAAAACATAACACTTAAAACTCGAACAATCTCAACCTCGATTGCAATGAGTCTAAACGACGTTCGCACGCAACGTCAACGTGAGCAAGACGAGAGACGGCTCTCAGTACAAAGAAACAACGCTTACTTCACTTTCAAAGCAACCGAAAGTAATGCAAGCTCATCACATACACGGTCAGTTACCCCAAACTTGACCGAATTCTTAAACGTAGAGAGCGAGAGAGCGCGATCTTGCTCCCCATCGCTACCATCGATGTCTCTGCAGCCAAAGAGCGCTGTAACCAGCACCGCAACTTCTTTGACAACGTCAACCGTAACAACAACAACAACCGCAACTGTAACGACAGCGCGTTTAACGACGTCATCAGTTAGCAGCGCAAACATTAATACTTCTGCCGCTGCGCTGCCCGAAAAAGATAACAATAACAAGGAAAATACTAAGCCGGCTGTGCAGACTGGTATGGATCGGTACATCCAAATCAAAAGGAAGCTGAGCCCCCTTAACTCTCAACGGAAAATAACCCGTGGCAATGCTAACATAGCTGCAATAAAAACGCCCACGAACTCAAACCGTTTTAAAATCTTGGCAGACTATGAGGATGACGCCGAATCTACAGAAAACGAAAAAAGGAAGCCTAAGCCCCCGCCAATTTACATACGAGAAAAAAGTTCCAACGTTCTTGTCAACAAAATTATAGAGCTTATTGGCAAGGACAACTTCCACATAATACCACTCGTAAAGGGCAATATCCAGGAAACAAAAGTACAAACGAAGTCTGAAGATAATTACAGAGTATTATCGAAATACCTCACCGACAAAAAAAAGAACTTTTACACGTATCAGCTAAAAAGCAGCAAGGGCCTGCAAGTCGTACTTAAGGGCATAGAGCCCGAAGTATCGCCTGCAGAGATAACAAAGGCGCTACAAGGGAAGAGATTTAACGCCAAGACAGTCTTCAATATCCTTAACAGGGATAGAAAACCACAGCCACTCTTTAATGTTGAGCTCGAGCCACAAATTACGAAGTGCACCCTATATACAATCTTCAGTTCCTGCTGCACCGCAGAATTACAGTTGAGTAGCCGCACAAACGCAATGGACCGGTACAATGTGCGAACTGCCAAGAATATAGCCATACAAGGTCTTACTGTAAACTGCGCCCGGTGTGTGTAGTTTGTGGTGAGCTTCATGACTCCGCACACTGCCCAGATGACCAGAACTCGAAAAAGTGCGGCCAACTGCGGTGGAAATCACACTGCTAACTATAGAGGTTGCCCAGTTTACAAGGAGCTGAAAAGTCGCATCCACCAGAGGGGATCTACTGCCCGCACCCAAAATAATCAGTTCATAGCCTCCAGGTCAAACCCTGAAGTCTTCTTCTCGACTGCAGCCAGATCCTCACTAGGACCCATAAACTCTGCCAAAAATGTCACATACGCAAGCGCTTTAAAATCAGAACTGGCTACCCCAGCCCCAAAAATCTCACTGCCGCAATCAGCACACCAAGAGCGCCAATTCGTTTCAAAATTGTATTTTCCAAAATTGTGCCGCGCCTGACGATGGATCTTTGTGATTCTTGGATAACTTGCCATTTTTGGTGGCACTAAGTGTTAGCAAGTGTGTAAAGTCCGCCAATTTTTGAGCCCTTTAAATTTTTTTTATAGTTTTCATTATCTGTTAATAAATTGTGTACAACATTTCGAGATTTTTTTTTTTTTCGTGGCGATTTGGCTCACATTAAGGCCTGAGTCCAAATATGCATCAATTTTCCCCCATAATTTTCCCATCTTTATCTTGGAGTGCCGATCCAAGGCCTTTTTTAGTTTCATTTGATCAATAATAGCATCAGATTGAAAAAAAAAACGTTTTAAACAAACTGCGCACTGTACACAAGTGATTACTGACAAGTGTCCTATCCAAATGAAACGATTTTCAGCATGCAAAAAACCATGCAGCAGTGCAAAAACTCAAATAAAAAAGTGGGGAAAGCAATAATGAAAAAATGTAACTGCATTTTAGAATCACAATAGAACAGAGATTATAACTTTAAAAAAAAATTTAGCTTTCAACGATTTTTGTCTTCGCTACGAGCGATTAACCATAAATGTTGCTAGGTGTCCTATCCAAATGAAACGAACTGTATAAGTGATAAAATACAGTTTTTACAAATATTGCCACGCGCGATTAGCTCAAATAAATGAGCGGCAAGGAAAATAATGAGCGTAGAAGCTCCGTTAACCAAAGAAACGCTTGTTATGCTTATTTCTCAACTCGCGATACCGAAGTAGAGAAAACGTCTACAAAGAGCAACCCGGCCCTACTGGCCGTCGAAAGCTCGCTCTCTATCACCAGCCCTACTCATTCCAACTCCTACATCTTGGAGTTATCAATGCCAGACCCCACCACCACCGGGAGACGCACCAACAACAAGCAGTGCTTCAATTTCTGCTACCTCAGCAAAAGTAAAGACAACAACTAAAGCATCGACCAATATTGCGAAAACGGTGTCAACGGCTCCATCGCCAACTGCAACGGCAACAAAAACCGTAAGCTACGATAAGCAACAAGCGGTTCCGGCCATACAGACCGGTATGGATCGCTACATCCAGATTAAGCGTAAGCTTAGTCCGCAAAACACGGTTGGTAACAAACCAAAGATCAACCGTACAATCCAAATCAAAGATAAAACCATGATTTTCAACAATAGCAACAGATTTTCCCTCTTAGCAGATGGTGAGATCCTAGCTGAGCCGGAGCAAGTGGCTCAAAAGAAACCAAAGCCCCCACCTATTTATATTAGGGAAAAAAGCTCAAACGCCCTGGTGAACAAAATTGTTGCGCTGGTCGGGAACGTAAATTTTCATGTTGTTCCGCTTATTCAAGGGAACATCCACGAAACTAAAGTTCAGACGAAATATGAAGATCACTTCCAAGCAGTTTCCAAATACCTGAAGGAAACGAAAAAGAATTTTTACACCTACCAACTAAAAAGCAGCAAAGGGCTGCAGGTAGTACTAAAAGGAATCGAACCCGACGTCGCCCCCTCTGAGATACTAGAAGCCCTTAAAGAAAAGGGATTCTCTGCTAAGAATGTTAGCAATATTATTAACAAAAATAAAAAGCCGCAACCACTCTTTAAGGTCGAGCTCGAGCCAGATGGCAAAACCCTAAAGAAAAATGAAGTGCACCCGATCTACAAGCTCCAGTTCTTACTGCACCGGAGGATCACAGTGGAAGAACCTCACAAACGGAACGGACCAGTGCAATGGACAAATTTCCAGGAGTTTGGGCACACCAGGACATACTGCACACTTCGGTCAGTCTGCGTAGTCTGCGGAGACTTCCACAATTCCGCACACTGCCCGGCTAACAAAGAAGACCCCCATACAAAAAAATGTGGGGAACTGCGGAGGAAACCATACGGCAAACTACAGAGGCTGTCTGGTCTACAAGGAGCTGAAGAGTCGCATGCGACAAGCGACAGCTACTCGTCAACAAAATACACAAAATGTGTATTTTAAATCAAAAACTACGTCAGACGTATTTTTCGCTAAGGCAGCCAGATTATCTTTCGGACCGCTCAGTACCACCATCGGCATCTCCTACGCTGATGCACTACGAACGGGTATGGAAAATCCACCCCAGCCACACTCAGAAAACGCTCAACAGATCCCAGACCAGCCACAAAGCAATTTGGAAACTATGATTTTTACCATGCAACAAAGTATGATGGAGTTCATGTCATTTATGAAAGCGACCATGCAAACGCTGGTCCAGAACCAGAATATGTTGATGCAGCTGCTTGTATCACAATAGTCCAAATAATCAATGACTAATCTACGAATATCCATGTGGAATGCCAACGGCATTTCACGGCATAAACTGGAAATAACACAATTCCTAAATGTAAACCACATCGACGCCATGCTGCTGGTTGAAACCCACCTCACAAGCAGATATAACTTCCATATACGGGGTTATACCTTCTAACGCACAGATCATCCCGATGGTAAAGCCCACGGCGGCACTGGCATCTTAATTAGAGAACGCATTAAACACCATTTTCACCAAAGGTTTGAAACAAATTACTTGCAAGCCACATCCATAAAAGTGCAGTCAGGAAACGACAACCTTTGCATCGCCGCTGTCTACTGCCCACCTCGCTTTACAATCTCTGATGGTCAATTCATGGATTTCTACAACTCACTTGGGGATCGCTTCATAGCTGCTGGAGATTATAACGCCAAGCATACGCACTGGGGATCACGCCTCGTTACTCCCAAGGGAAGGCAACTTTATAATGCGTTTATAAATGTGAGAAATAAGTTGGACTAC